TCCTTTAGCCCCATTTCTTCATCTGCAAGACGAAGGGCATAGAATTAAATTATTTTTAAGATCCTATCCAGACTTCTCCAATGCTCACCGAAGGGAAGAGGTATGTACAGGAAGAAGCAAGTGAAAGAGTTTGAAAAGAACGAAAAACAAATGAGTGAAAGAGCAAAGCATACACAGGAAGGGGAAAGTATATCAAAAGGCAGGAGGGACAGGGAGATGGGAATGTGGAAGGACTGATAATGAAGCTATGGAAAAAGGAAAAAGAGACGACTTCTGATAAAAGCCATTCCACCAGCCCATGAATTTTCATGGCTACCAGCTGGCATAGAATGAGAAAGACAATTTTCAGCTCCTCTAACGGAATTGCATTTGTAATAATCATAACAATATTTCTACAGAGTAAAAAAGACAAAGATAATTTGAAATGGAAAACACTGACAAGATGCAAACTAAATGCGCTATACCTGGGAACAAATTTAGGGATGGGACAGAATTTGCATGAGGAAAACTTATCAGCCGGCGTGCTACAGGGCATCAAACCTGGAAGGGCTTTTTAAAATTTATTTCTATTATTATTTTTTTGCAGTACGCGGGCCTCTCACTGTTGTGGCCTCTCCCATTCTGGAGCACAGGCTCCGGATGCACAGGCTCAGCGGCCATGGCTCACGGGCCCAGCCGCTCCGTGGCATGTGGGATCTTCCCGGACGGGGGAACGAACCCGCGTCCCCTGCATTGGCAGATGGACTCTCAACCACTGCGCCACCAGGGAAGCCCTGGAAGGGCTTTTTAAAATTTATTTCTATTATTAATTTTTTGCAGTACGCGGGCCTCTCACTGTTGTGGCCTCTCCCATTCTGGAGCACAGGCTCCGGATGCACAGGCTCAGCGGCCATGGCTCACGGGCCCAGCCGCTCCGTGGCATGTGGGATCTTCCCGGACGGGGGAACGAACCCGCGTCCCCTGCATTGGCAGATGGACTCTCAACCACTGCGCCACCAGGGAAGCCCTGGAAGGGCTTTTGATGGTTCCTTGTTAACCTCCTCAGGTAAATGGGGGAAAATGACTCCGTATTAGCCTCTCAGAACAGTGGCTTCTGTCTCACGATCAAATCTGTGCTGAAATGCACTTCTTTTGCTTTTCATTATCTGCTACACAAATAACGGCTGTGCCGATGCTCAAATGCCAGGTCCAGCCCTAATGTATCCATTTGTAAATGTCCCTGTTGGTCTTCGTGAGTGATTCTGTCCTTCTGTAGCTTCCAAGATGGTTTGGAATTGGAATTCTCCCCTGAGAGATGTTTGCAAATTTCAGTACCTACTAAGTGTGAGATCATAAATGATGGGACCAAGGCCTTCCTCTGACTCAGATTATGGTCTCATAGGGAAGATAAACATGACAGTTAACATTATTGAGAGGGTTTTATATGACAAATAAATACAACAGCTAACCTTGAACTACAGTAGTCATTTTGGTGTCAGGTGTATTTTTTTCACTGAACCCTCCTAACAGCCCTGAGAAGTAGCTACTATTATAACTTTACTTTATTGATGAGAAATTGGGGGATCAGGAAAGTGAAATAACTGGCCATAAGTCACACAGCTAATGAAGAGCTAAGCCTGGACTCTAAACCTAGCTAGAAAGGACTGGGGTGCCTATCTCCTTAACTACTGCCCTACACTAGCTCAGAAAAGAAATAGTGACTAGTGGAATCCACACTAGACTAACTGCTGGCTCTATTGTCCCCCTCGGCCCCTCCCTCTGAATCTAAGTGGTTGGGTATTTTGACTCATCACAAGTGCTTGTTTATTATCCTACACATTTGATTCCTCGACTGGGATAAATAGGAAGGCTTCGTGCTGGAGGGGGCCTCAGAACTGGGTTTTAAGACACACAAGGTATAGTTTTGATAGCAGGTGTATTTTGAATTGGAGTAGACATTTTTGTTCAATTTCTTAAGCACCTTATTTTAAAAAATCCTTGCTTACTTTGAAAAATGTAACAATAATTGGAGCCTTCCATCAGCCAGCTATTACGAGACAGCCCTAGGTGTAACCACCATGTGAATGATCCTCCTAACGAAAGCAAGAAGAATGGCTAAGGAGGGAGAGTGTCATTTTTCTAGTAAGGAAAAAGAATCCCTATATTTTTTTTTTAAGATTTTTTAAAATTAATTAATTAACTTATTTATTTTTGGCTGCATTGGGTGTTCGTTGCTGCGTGCGGGCTTTCTGTAGTTATGAAGAGCAGGGGCTACTCTTTTTTGCAGTGTGTGGGCTTCTCATTGCGGTGGCTTCTCTTGCTACAGAGCACGGGCTCTAGGCGCTCGGGCTTCAGCAGTTGCAGCACGTGGGCTCAGCAGTTGTGGTGCACGGGCTTAGTTGCTCCGTAGCATGTAGGATCTTCCCGGACCAGGGCTCGAACCCGTATCCCCTGCATTGGCAGGAGGATTCTTAACCACTACGTCACCAGGGAAGTCCCTCCTACATTTTTTATATTGCCCTGGCTTTTTATAAATCTTTACCTGAGACAGACTGGCAATACTGCACGGTCCAGGCGATCAATGCAGACAGCAGGAAGGTTCCCAGAAAGTAGATCTGCAAACATCCAAAGCACATGTCAGATGACTGACAAAGGGTGGGGACCATGAGGACAGGGCTGAGGGGAGACAGTTCCTACCAGGGCAGAGTGCAGGGTGGCACCCCAGATAAGCCGGAGGTTAAGGTAAAGCCAGGCCAGGGAGCAGGGGCTGAAGGACTCCTCGCTGCTGTGGCTCCAGCACCTGCAGACAAAAAGCACAGTGTTGCCAAACTTTGGTAGCATTACTTACGACCGACATTTGCAGATCCTCAAACCCACATCCTTCTGCTTTGGGTCAAATGAGCACATGTAAAATGAGAGAAAAAAAGAAATAAAACCAGTTCTGAGGGGTGTGAGCCTCGCTGAAATTCTAGGATCCTGGCAAAAATCTCAGAAAAAGGTCAGTCTTGTCCTTCATAAAAAGACAGGTCAAGGAGGCCCTTGTAGCATAGGAACTGCCAAGGAGCACTTTTATGTGAGTGTCTGTGTCCAAAGTCCAGACACTGGGATGCCTCCCTATCTTGCAGAAAAGCATCATCTTATTGGACACTTTATTTTTTCCACTGTCGTGGAAAAACTTAGTCAGCATTTTAACTTCAAATCAAGCACATTCTATATCTTAATCCTCAGATACTAGAAAAGGGAATTAAGTTTGGGTCCAGCTGAGTGTTCTCTAATCAAAACAAATCCTGAGCCCTTTATAACCACTGACATTAGAAGATAAGACCAAGGCTAACTTTAACCAAGAAGCTAACACCACCCACTTGGGTTCCACCAGCTGCTACAGTATTAAAGAGGCTCTGAACTCACCTTTCGTACAGTTCTTGGAGGATGGAGATGTTATTAGAATGGATAGTCGGGTCAATTTCCAAGAAATCCAAAATATGATGTGGGATTATAGCACCTTCCTCAATTAGCAGGGCCAGGTTAAAAAATCCCTGAAAACAAGCCATAAACCAAACTCACTCACTCCTTATAATAAAGCCTAGACGGACACTTCATCAGAATGTAAACTTTTACAACCTCTAGATTTTTTTTTTTTCAGTCCCTAGAGCCAGATGGTTTTGTCATCTTCACTGATGAATTGTTTCCCTAAATATATGCATCCGAGGAACTTATTTGCAGAAGAACCAGGAGGCTTTCAGAGGATGCTGTGTCCCATCTGCTCAGAAGCCAGTCAACCGGGGGAATCTGTCCTTTCCTGTTCATTCTCTCAAAACAGAACTCGCTGGAAAACGTGCCCTTGTATCATCAACAAACCCAGAATATCGACTCAAAGGCGGTGTCCTTCACTAACACACTATACCCTGGGTCACCATCGGTATGTCAGAATTCTAACAAATGTGGCTGTGGGTGTGCTCAGGGCTGACATTCTAAGAGGAGAGGCCTCTGATGCGCACAGTAACGTGCAGGTGTTTGTCCGATCTTTCCTAGGGCAGCGAGGAAAACCTCCTCACCTGATTCCTCTTGGTACAGACCCTCCACTCTGGTACGCTTCCCCACCTCCCTCTCATTATATATCTTGTTCTTGACCCACAGAGGTAGGACCTGCCTTACTGGGCTGTGCGGGTCCAGTAAAGTAACACAGTTAAGAGCCTGATGGTTGAAGTGCTTCATAGAGGATGGAAACTATTATAGGACCTGGAGGAGACGCACTGTCCATCATGAGCTGAGCATGTGGCCAGACCAAGAAATAAACAAAACATGATGTGTCACTTATTATTACGGCTTTACAAATTCCACTGAATTGTTGTCCTTCAAAGAATTCATAGTCATGCTTTAATGACTTATATCCTCCCTTTCCTTTCTTTTAGTTGATTCTAAATAAAAATCACCATCCCCCAGGTTGTAAAGTTGCAGGAGTCTCACAAGCAGGCTATGTGATGATCATGATAAAAATAACAGCAGCTGGCATTTTCTGAGTGATGCTATATATGAGGCTTTGTTCTGTTTTACATATATATTCGCTTAATCTTCACAACAACAAATTGAGATAGATTCTGTTATCCTCTATACTATTATTACTAGGAAGCTGAGGCACAGAGAAGTTAAGGAATTTGCCCTAGGTCATGCAGATGGAAAGAGGATTCAAATGTAAACACACTGGATTCAGAGCCTCAAATCTTAAGATCCACCTTGCTGCTAAATAACCTCTAAATAGATACAAGTATTAGGTGTCTTAAAATTTCACACACACACAAGCAGAAAATAGACTGTTTCTCCACTTTTTGAAAGAAAGTTTCTCTTAAAACTCGAGGTATTAGAAGAAAAGAAAATGACTTTATAAAATTTTAAAGTCTCTGAACAATGGAAAAATAACAAGATTAAAATAAATTGGAAAATGGACTAGGGGAATATTTGTATGCATTGTAATAGCTTAAGGTTCATTATCTACTGGGCAAATGTATAAAGAGCTAATTATAATTTAAATTATTATTATTATTATTATTATTTTTTTTTTTTTGCGATATGTGGGCTTCTCACTGTCGTGGCCTCTCCCGTTGCCGGACGCGCAAGCTCAGCGGCCATGGCTCACGGGCCCAGCCGCTCCGCGGCATGTGGGATCCTCCCAGACCGGGGCACGAACCCGTATCCCCTGCATCGGCAGGCGGACTCTCAACCACTGCGCCACCAGGGAAAATATCAAAACTCCAATAGATAAGCAGACAAAGAGTAAGAATAGAGAATTCACGTAAGAAAATATACAGGGTAAATTATCATAGATGAGTATATGTAAAAGTGTCCATCCCCAGTAGTAGTCAAATACATACAATTTGAAACAATAAGGAAGGATCAACTGATAATCATTCAATTACCAAATTAAGTCACGAAAACATCCAGTGCTGACAAGATTTCAATGATCCTTTTATACTAAGCACTGCTTGGTGATACATTAATTGGGAAACAGTTTCAGAAAGTAAACAGCAATATACTATTATTATGTAACCATGAAACCGTTTAGACTGTTTGACTTAGCAATGCCATCCCTCAGATTATAAAGAGATTATTCAAACGGAGGTAAAAGATGGAAATATGAGAATGTTCATTGTAACACTTGCTATAATTGCAACACAATAGGAAATGACCTTCACATCTTCCTTAATGGACTATAAATCCCATGAAGGCAAAAGTATTGTCTGTCTTTTAATCTTGTGTCCCCACCACTAAGCAGCGTCTAAGACATGCCAGGACTACATAAACACGTGTCAAATCAATCAATAAATTAGCAAACAAGACAATAAATGTCCATCAAAAGATAAAACTTAATAAATTACAGTCTATCAGCTCAGCAGGATATGGGGCAGCAGTGACGAGCAATAATTACAGAGACCATGCAATAGAATGCACCCATTCCTACAATATGTGAGAAGAAGCAGACTTTTCAAGCGGCCCGTGTGCTCTAGTTACCATTAAAGAGACCCACTGGCCGGTGGCTGGGACTAGAAAGGGACATGAAGACTGAAGGAATTAAAAAAAAAAAAGAAAGAAAACCCAAAGGAATAAAGCCCCTGACATGGAATTGTGGGTGCATTCTTTGATTTGCTTTCTCTTTAAAAATTATTCTTGGGCTTCCCTGGTGGTGCAGTGGTTAAGAATCCGCCTGCCAATGCAGGGGACATGGGTTCGAGCCCTGGTCCGGGAAGAACGAACCCGTATCCCCTGCATCGGCAGGCGGACTCTCAACCACTGCGCCACCAGGGAAAATATCAAAACTCCAATAGATAAGCAGACAAAGAGTAAGAATAGAGAATTCACGTAAGAAAATATACAGGGTAAATTATCATAGATGAGTATATGTAAAAGTGTCCATCCCCAGTAGTAGTCAAATACATACAATTTGAAACAATAAGGAAGGATCAACTGATAATCATTCAATTACCAAATTAAGTCACGAAAACATCCAGTGCTGACAAGATTTCAATGATCCTTTTATACTAAGCACTGCTTGGTGATACATTAATTGGGAAACAGTTTCAGAAAGTAAACAGCAATATACTATTATTATGTAACCATGAAACCGTTTAGACTGTTTGACTTAGCAATGCCATCCCTCAGATTATAAAGAGATTATTCAAACGGAGGTAAAAGATGGAAATATGAGAATGTTCATTGTAACACTTGCTATAATTGCAACACAATAGGAAATGACCTTCACATCTTCCTTAATGGACTATAAATCCCATGAAGGCAAAAGTATTGTCTGTCTTTTAATCTTGTGTCCCCACCACTAAGCAGCGTCTAAGACATGCCAGGACTACATAAACACGTGTCAAATCAATCAATAAATTAGCAAACAAGACAATAAATGTCCATCAAAAGATAAAACTTAATAAATTACAGTCTATCAGCTCAGCAGGATATGGGGCAGCAGTTAAGAGTAATAATTACAGAGACCATGCAATAGAATGCACCCATTCCTACAATATGTGAGAAGAAGCAGACTTTTCAAGCGGCCCGTGTGCTCTAGTTACCATTAAAGAGACCCACTGGCCGGTGGCTGGGACTAGAAAGGGACATGAAGACTGAAGGAATTAAAAAAAAAAAAGAAAGAAAACCCAAAGGAATAAAGCCCCTGACATGGAATTGTGGGTGCATTCTTTGATTTGCTTTCTCTTTAAAAATTATTCTTGGGCTTCCCTGGTGGTGCAGTGGTTAAGAATCCGCCTGCCAATGCAGGGGACATGGGTTCGAGCCCTGGTCCGGGAAGATCCCACATGCCGCGGAGCAACTAAGCCCGTGCGTGACAACTACTGAGCCTGTGCTCTAGAGCCCGTGAGCCACAACTACTGAGCCCGCGTGCTGCAACTATTGAAGCCCGCGTGCCTAGAGCCTGTGCTCTGCAACAAGAGAAGCCACCACAATGAGAAGCCCACACACCACAACGAAGAGTAGCCCCCGCTCGCCGCAATTAGAGAAAGCTTGTGCGCAGCAACAAAGACCCAACACAGTCAAAAATAAATAAATAAAATAAATAAGTTTATTTAAAAAAAATTATTCTTTAACATTTTTATAACATCATCTTGTGAAAAAATTAAAAATCAGAACTGAAAAAAAAAAATTAGGTCCAGGCCTAATTTTGAGTAAAAACATAAATCATCTAGGGGTGTTTGGCTCACTAGCAAATCCTTTTAGTACCAACTCCTATTTCATTCCAGAAGAAATAATAATAAAAAGATAGATCATATCCACTAAGCATACTCAGTGCTGGGCTTGGTGCTTTACATCCAACATCTCATTTAATCCTTGTAACCTATGAGGTGGATGTTATTATTATCCCCAGTTCACAAATGAGAAAACAAAGAGTCAGTGATTGAGTGACTTGCCATATACAAATAGCTGTGAAGGCACAAAGATGTGGGGTAAAAGTAAAAGTAGTATCTCCTTTAAAAAAAAAGACTAAGATAGGGATGAGTTTCCAACTTTTGCTTTGTGATCAGATCACAAATCACACAAGAAACCTGTGGCATAAGAGGGTAACAACTATTCCAGCTTCCATCACGAAACAGCCCTGAGATCCTCACAAGAGAAGTCCAATTAGCAAATGTAGAAGGAAGGAGAGAAACAGAAAATCATCATTGGCACACTACAGTTAGTTGTTGCAGGCAAGATTTACTGAAGGATACTGAAATCAGTGGGCAGAAGTTGGAGGAGAAATCAAATATTTGCATCATTGCAAATTATCTCCCCATGATATCTATAAATTAGAAAGAGAAAATTATTAACTTTACATGGGAGAAACCTAGTAGAAACCACCTTCACCGAGTGACTGAGATCAGCCTCACCAATAATAAGACATACTGACACTATGTATGCCACATATGATACACTGAGAAGGACATATAACACCTGGGCTATCCTTGCCTCAAATGCATAATCTCAGTCTATTCACGAGAAAACAGAAGACCTACCCAAATCGAGGGACATTCTACAAAATATCTGACCAGTATTCTTCAAAGGTATCAACGTCATGAAAGACAAGCAAAGACAGAAACTGTCCCAGATTGAAGAGGACTAAAGAAATATGACAACTAAATGCAATGTGGGATCCTGAAACAGAAAAATAATGTTAGTGGAAAAACTAGTGAAATCCAAATAAAGTCTGAAATGTAGTTAATGGTACTGAACCAACACTGATTTCTTAGTTTGATAATGATATTGTGGCTATGCAACTTTTCTATAACTCTACAAATATTCCAAAATAAGAAGTCTCCCCCAGAAACATAGTAAGTGCTCAATAAAGGTTCACCATTCTGGCTAGTATTCTCAGATAGGTTTTGTGAGGGGCTCGTGAACACGGATGAGAAGTGACTTTGCAACCTCACAAAGAAGCATCACCAGGGGCTCATTTCTGTTGCCGTTTACCTGTGAGTCTCCATCCAGCGCTGCTTGGGCATACATCTGCACAGACAACTCAAGGTCTTGTGATTGGTTTTGGTGACCATAGTAGTAAAGGTCTCCCATTTTCAAATACGCTGCAGGACAAAAAGGACAAGTAGTTTTATTTCAGACAGACCTTTTAAATGATTGGCCCATTTGCATGACTGCAAGTTTTTCCCACCAGAATCTGGATATGGATACATCTTTAGGCTTCCTTGACGTGGGGAGGGAAAAAAAAGATTTTTGCACTGAGCACTCCCATTTCTAGACACATTTTCTTGCTTCGCTGGGTAGCTCTCCTAAATGGGTCTGTTTGTGAGAATCATAGTCTGCAACATCACAGCCCCAACAGCCAAGGTTGTTTGGGGCACTGAGATTTTGCTGCCTGGGTTTGATGACTGATGTGTATTTCTTTACTCTGTTTAAGCCATATATGTCATCTTTCCTCTGAGGAAAAAGTTTTGTTTGAGTGTATGTATCACTCAACGTCCAATCAGAATAGAATCCTCTTCAGGTAGCTCAGAAAAGGGATTTTAACACTGGGAACTGGTTACCAGAGTGTTGGAAGAGTTGAAAGGGCAAATGCCGAACAGTAGGCAACCCAGAGATTAGCAACGCAGGAAGCCACTACCTTCCTAGGCCTGGGGGCCAGCTGAGACCACAGAGGGTGGACGGCCAGGCAGGAGTTGGAACCATGGAAATGCAGCCATTGCCAGAGACACAGCCCAAAGCAGAGAGAAGGGGAGAAATACTTGGGCTTCTCACCTCCTCCCACCCTGCAATTTCCTGCCAGCGCCTCCCATTGGCTGAAAATAATCAGATGTCACCGGGCAAAGGAGTCTGGGAACTGTAGTTACTGAGGGTCAGCCCTCTATCACACAGGGCAGAGCCAGGAAGACAGGGAATCCATCTGAGGGCAAAAAGGCAAAAGACTGGCCCAGAGAATCTCTCCCGAATAGCTTTCTCTTTTGAATTCTCGCTGATTCCTTAGAAATGGTGGGTCCAAGCATTCCATACACAACGGATGAAGAGAAATGTATTGCTTGAGATTGAGAGCAGAGTTTAGGAAAGATCTTAATAGCCGAGATTCTTCACTCTGTTTCTTAATTGTTTAGAAATATTACACTTCACACAAAGCTGTTAGATGTTCCCTGTTACTAAAGATGAAAAGCCTCCAATGCTTTAAGTTAGCACCCGTTTCTCTATACATACCAAATGAAGGAGCATCGATTTGAAAAACAGAGAAATTATAGTATCTCCAAACACAATTAACATCCAAATACCTCTTGGCCAGGTCCTAAGGGGATGAAGGGGGAGAAAAAGTTAACTCATTAATATTTCTGCCAAGTGATTAATTTTGCCTCCACAAAACCCAATTCATTATCCTTAACCTTAGAGCTTCTAGTCTGAGGAGAATACATTTACTTACTGGCCTCTCCTCACAGATGTGAGCTAAATTTGTCTGTGACACTTCAATTCCAGTTTCTGCTGCTAAAACATAATACAGCAAAGCTTCGTGCCTAAAAATAGATGATTAATAATAAATTTCATAGAGTGGCTCTTACTAATACTCACAGAGAGCTTTATATTCACACGTAAGAGGGCACAAAATAAGCAGTTTTTTTAAAACCACAAAATCATGAGTTTTTTTTTTTTTTAAATAAATACTGTTGTTAAAAATAGTGCATGCACTGATTTATTTTCTCTCTTAAAAGGCTGAACTCACAGATAAGGTTGGGGAGCTAGTTGATACAACAGCGACCTCTACTGGCCGAATGGTACATCGCGTGCTGGCTGGGGAGCTGTCTATTAGCTTTGGGTCCTTGAAACCCTTCCATCTTCCATCCTCGCTTAGAGGAGATAAGTGGTATTAAGAAAAAGCTCTGCACTTTTGGGTCCTGTTTTGCGAAGGGCTTTATGGGGCTTACGACTCTGAACAAGCTTAATTAAAGCTGAGCTTCTGTGGTGCATTAGAAGTTTGGCAAAGGAGAGGCAGTTTGCAAGGGGCTTGATACCAATGGCCAAAAACACATCTGAAAAAAGTAAATATTCGACACCAATGGTAATTGAATAATTGCGAAACAATGAGACCACATTTCATTTGTTGAGACTGGCACCTGATTCATAATACAGATAACGGCAAGAGCTTGGGGAAAAATGGACCTATTCCTACAACCACTGTTAGTGGGAAGCCAATTAACGTGATAGCTAAATGTGAGGACTCTTACGAATGTACATACCACCTGGCCCAACAGTTCTGCCTCATGAGGGTTTATTCTAAGAAACAATCAGAAACATGTGCAAAGATTCTGTGGCAACAGAGGTCATGGCAGAGCTGTTTCTATGAATTGGGGAAAAAAAGGGAACAAGTATCTGAAAATCAATGACTAGTTCAATTAACCCATGGTACAGCCACTTTCAGACGAGGCCATTAAAAATGACGTTGCCAACGTTTCCACTGTGTAAAAAAAAAAAAAAAGGATAAAAAACAGTGCAATTTCATTTTCGTAAAACAAAAATAAAACTGAATCCACACATGTACACACACACGCGCGAATACATATATGCAGGAAAAAACAAAAAAAGATCCACCAAAATGCTAACGGTACTTATCTGTAGGTGGTGAGAAGGCAAGTGATTTTTATTTTCTTTTTACTTATCTGATTTCCTCCATTTTAACCACAAATTGTTGTTTCTAAAGCTTATTTTCATTTTCCGTAGCTAATATTAAGAGCTATTTCTTAATTTTAGCTCCATCTAGGCAATGGTTTAAGAAAGGGTGGGGGGAGGTTGGGTTGGGGGAATAAGTAAGCAGATCCAAAGGTCATCTTTTCTACATGGCTAAAGCATCTCCTGGGAGGCCATCCCGTGGGGACAGAGGGAGGTGACTGGGGGGTCAAATTAGGACAGGCAGACCTTCAATCAGACATACTGCAGGTCACGGCCATGTGGCTGCTGAGTGTGCTGTTTCCTGGCCTCCCGAGATACCCAAGGCAGCCGACCAATTAGGCATGACTCATGCTAAAGAGACAAGGCTGGCTAAGCAGCTTCCCCTGCGAGGACAAGCCACATAAGAGAACCACAACTGCAATGGCAACAACACAAAAGACCCCCAGACATTTTCTTACATAGCCTGCAAGTATCGTGTTTGGTGACAAGAATCCTCGAAGCGGACCCCAAATGGGGGAACTAAATTTGAGAGAAGTTCAGCAGAAAGACCCATCATTCTACAATCAGGTCCTATTCCAAAGGTCTCATAATCTCAAACACTCAGGTTTGCCCCAGTGCCTCAGTTTCCCCCACTGGATGGATGAGGGAAGGAGATGGTGTAGACTTGCCGGCCCAAGGTCAAATATCAGGTCGGCTCGCTCTGCTGCCATAACTGGATGAAATGGGGTTCATATAACTGCAGTGTAATAAAATGAGGTTTTCTTAGATAGCAGTTGGGCAGACTGTTAGAATTTTGGAGTGGAGGACACAAGGTTGACACTTCCTGTAAGAACAGTCACTACGATAAATTTTATAAAGACGATACCTTGCCTCTAAAGTTACTTGGAAGATGGGGGAGAGAAGGGAGGAACACATTTTATAGGAAGACTTCAATTGACCAATTATTGTATAAGCCGGGAGGAAATCTCACAGAATTCTCAAGTATTTCCTTTGAGGAAGCACTGAAATCACCAAAGAGATGTCTAAAAAATATTGATGTCAATAGAAACACTGAACAGAAATCCACCTCTGTCTTCCATCTTGCAGAAGCCATCAGCAGAGGCCGTAGACTCCAAAACCACCACCATCTGTTTTCATATATTTAAGGGTGAACTTTAGGCAAGGGTCAGAACACTGAAGAACAGACTTTCTCACCTTAAGACTTCGGAGACATGACACTTCTGCAGAAACCCTATCTGCGCTTAGCCTCCTAGCACTTTGCTCTTACTTGTGTCTCAACTGAGTCTGCCTGAAAATACTAATTACAGATATTTCTATCCTTATATTCATGCAATTCATACATTCAGTATGTGCTCTGCGCAGGAGGACCAAAGCCACAAAACTGCACTGTCCTGTGAATTTCCTCAAGGTTTAGGAAGCTACCAGAGGTCAGCTTTATTTCCGATGCACTGAAGTGAAATAGTCCCCAGTCAGTCATTCTGATGGGGGTGGGGGGCTGGGCAGGGATGCAGAGAGGAGGGGATTTAGAGTAAAGGATGTGTGTAGGGGCACACTTGCTACCCTCCCACTTCAGACTCGGCACATCCATTTATAAGACTTTTATAATGATACCTCTTAATAATCAATCCTTTGGCTGCTTTCTGTGAATTGTGAATTTGAGTAACTCTGAGCAGTTTCTCAAACAATTCTATTGTTTTCTCTGGGTTCTTTTCTGCCAATGTCTAAAGCAGCCCAAACTGGAAGGATAAAAAAAGAATCCTGGGGTCTCAGTGGAATTTAGGACCCTGCTCTAAGGCAAAAAGATGAATCTCTTTCAAGTGGAATCTTGCATGCCTGCTTGTCTTGCCTCAAGCTTACTAGAATCTGGCTAACCTCCTGGGTTAATTAAGTATTTGGGGTATATTTAAGACAAAGGACAGTAAAACACTTAGCTCACAGATGAAACACACAGAGGGGTAAGACAGAGAGAAATGAAACAGGACAGGTGACCTCTCCTTATCAGACTTCTCCTGGTGTCCGAGGATAGCCTCGGGCATGATAACATTATCTTCAGTATTTTGCCTAAACAGCAAAATGCCCTTTTTTTTCATTCACACTCCTCTTTCAAACTATCCCACATAAATCTTGGAACAACACAGAAAAACACAAGCTCATCAGACTGACACATGTAATTTGAAAATAACGTCCAGAATAAATTCACTCACAGAAAATGAAAAAATGGGATGGACTTGGGACATTGATGGATGACTTAGTTCTATTATAACAAAATAGATGGGACCCAAAAAATTCCACGTTGCGGTGTGGGGAAGCCAGCGCTCGTATATTTCCAATTTAACCCCTGAGGCATTTGGAGGCACCAGGAGAGAAGGAAGAGAGAAAAGCACTTTGTCCCAAATATATTTTGACAAAGATAGTCCCACTATAATGGATACTAAGTGTTTCTTCCTGTTGATAGGAAATGGTCTCAAGTCCAGATTAAGACATATCTTTAACAATACTTAGGATCAGCATCAAAATTGGCAAGGATATGAAGAAGCAGATATTTATATGCGTTTGATAGGACCGTACATTGGTAAAATATTTTGGAAAACAGTTGGCATTATCTTACAAAGTTGAACATATGGTTAGCCTGTGACCCCACTCCTAAGTTCATATTTTAGAGAAACTTTTTCTATTTGTGGCAGGATATGCATAAAAAATGTTCATGGCCACATTGTCCTTAAAATAAGATGGGAAACAACCCAAATGCAAGTTATTATGAGAATTGGTAAATAAACTGTGGTATATGACAGCAGTGAAAATGAATGACCTACAGGTACATGTATCAAAAGATATGAATCTCAGAAACATCAGGTGAAGTAAACAATAACAAAGAAAAGCAGTGAAGAATTCTATATAATACGATTCTAATGATATGAAGCTCAGAAACAAGTCCAATCTATTGCTTAGGAATATATCCATATATAGCAAAACTATAAAGAAAGCAAGGGGCAGAGAACCATAAGATTAAGGACAATGGTTAGTGCTGGATATTGGGGCCACGGGTGGGTTTAATATGGGAGGAACATGCAGGGGGCTTCGACAGTTCATTTTCTTAAATAGGGTGGTAGGGCTATAGGTGTTTATTTTATTGTTAATTTATGCTCTGGAACTTAACATACATATCACCTACTATTTGGTATGTATCAATTACTGTGTGATAAAAGGGAAAACAACTTACCCGGCTCAGGTCACAGCTCCAGCTCAAAATCTCAGCTCCTTTAACCTGGATTCTGAACTAGCTCTCTCCCTTTGAGGTTCTCCCTTCTCTTCACCATCATTCACAGATGCTTGGTTAGGAATCTCAGAACCCAGCTCTGTCATGTCACTACCCTCTCCCAAAGCCATCAAGGGCTCCCCACTGCTCCAGAAGCTAAGTAAAAAGTATATGACCTGCTATTTAAAGTTCCATAATGCAGCACCTCTTTGGTCTTGTCATATAGCACTCCCTTTTACAAATTTTACCCTCAAGGTAAACTGGTGGCTTAAAAATTTCTAGACATACCCTGAATTTTCCTATTTCTTTGTTTTTGTTCCTGCGATTCCCTTCACTAGAAGTGTTGTTCTCTGCATGACTAAGTGGAAATTCCACCCATCCCCCAAGGCCATATCATCTGTTACCTCCATTAGAAAGGCTGACCTAAGTCCCCCAAACCAGGTAGCATCTTTCCTTCCTCCAAATCCCTGATGTTCTTTATATACTGCTCATGGTTCTTGAGTTACAGTTGTTCTGTCTATTTGCCTTAATTCATTTTTAATGCCTTAATCCATTTACTTAATTCAAAGTAGTTTTTGAGTCCTTCCCAGTTGCCATTAAGTGCTGGGCACTGGGATACACATCACAGGGCAATCAACAAGTAAACAGCCATCATGACCCATCCAAGGACAAAAGGGAGTAAGGAGTTAAGCAGGATTTCTGGGCAGAGGGAACAGCAAGTGCAAAGGCCCAGAGGTCAGAGAGAGTATGAGCCATCTGAGAAACTGCAGGTAGTTTAGTACCAGGAAGAGATGAGGCAGCAGGCTTCCCCAGCCCTACTTGTGGCATCCCCTGCAGCTATGGCAAGGCACCCTGCATTTAAATGTACCCACTAAAATCTGCTGAACTCAACCCAAACTCACCAACAGTGTAGAACACATGTAATCCTTAGCTCCTCCTCCCCCCAAATCAATCATGTGATGTGGCTGAATATTCTAAGAAAGACAGCAGGCCACGAAATCTTAATTCCTCTTGACCTTCACAGCAAATTTTTAAATGCACTCCCTGAAGTGCTTTGTGATTTTAAATTCAAAAGTCGGCAAGAATGATGAGCTATTAGCAGATATTCTCTTTGTGGGAAAGTGTCAGACATCTTGGGGTGTGTGTGTGTGTGTGTGTGTGTGTGTGTGTTGGGGGGTGTTTACAGATATGCTCTCCCTTTGGGAAAACCCCACATATAAACATTTTGATATTTGAATGCTTAGTATCCCCTAAGAAGTTGTGGGGAGTAAAGGGTGGGAAATTTGGAGGATGAGAAGTAGAAATGGGCAAAAGTCAAATTTGGGAAAAGTTCAAATTTCATGAACTGAAGCTTACTTGGGAAACAAATAAAACAGCCCACAAATTGTAAGGTGTATCAATTGGAAAATGTCATTAAAAAATGTCTTCCTGATTATGCAAAGTAAGGCCACAGATGATAAACTTTTAAAGGATGATAGTAATAAACATTGTTATTCAGTGCTGTTTTCCCTGGGCTCATTTTCCCTGAATTCCCTAATTTGAGATTCTCATTCACTGAGGTGCTATCTGTTGATTACGTGGGCACCCATGGACCAGAGAAGAAAATGGCACTCTCTTGGACTTATATTTTAATTTTTAATTGAGGTTCGGTGATAGGTCTGCTCTAATGTCTTTGAGGCAGTGGACCGATGGGATATATGCTGATTTGCATATCCTTTTTAGTTATTATGGAAATACCCAGATCATTTACGCAATAAACGAGCCAAGAAAATATGGCCCAAGGAAAAGTAAGAGAGAATTCGAGGGCGGACAGAAGAAAACAGAAAGACGGACTCAGGTAGAGCTTGGAGAAGTGTGCCCTTATTTGTAAAATCAAGTAACTGCAGATAGGGGGCATTTACAAGTCCTCATGTGCGGGGTCTCATCCCATTCAGCACAGGATGAAATTTGCTAACTCCATCAGAAGAAGCTTAGAAAGAGTGAGTCCGTTTGGCTGTGACACTGGAGGTCTGGTGAGTGACTTCCAGAAATCCTAGGGAAGATGCAATAAAATATCTACCGGAAGATGTAGCCTGAGCCCTAAACACACTGTTTTTGCTCCTTCCCACAAACAAGGTGGAAATCCTGGACTTTCTGTGGCCTGCCAGTGAGAGGCAGAGGGTCAGCTAGGATCCCCTGTGCTGTCTCCAGACTCTGAAAGCAAGAAGAGCAAAAGCTTGAAGGGAAGAGAAGTCAACGTATTCATGTGTCTCTCAATTTGATGAATGCGGATGCTCCCTCTAGAGAACTAATTTTTGTGTATAATTAAACATGGAAATGCTGTGTTTTCTAATCAACAGCCAATCAGTCGGTGATACTCTGAATATCATTACCGGGAGGCTGTGATTTCCCTGCAAATTGCTTTTTCGGTTTCATTTTAAGACTCCATCTCATAAGACCACACTGACAGATTGAAAGGTAATGACTGCGAAAGTTCAATCTAACTTACCACGAGCCCTCCAGGTAGGCGTTGAGGGCTTTGCGAATGACGTGGCCCAAGTAGCCATTTTTCTCGGCTACATGCTTTGTCCATCTGAAAAGGAAACAGAAGAGAAAATATCCAAACTATGGCAAATTAAATAATGGCTCTTTACTTCGTATGATTTCAATAAATCCCACTTGGGGAATATTTTGCTTCTTAGAATTTTTATGGAGCAACAAACCAGAACTGAATGTTAAGAAGATAAAGATACATTATGAGAGCCTTGCATTCAGTGCCCTTTCTAACGAATGCTTAGGAGTTGTCATTTTGGGGGGAAAAAAGATGTGAAAAGTACCTAATGAAAAATGTCTACTAACATGGAAAAAGATAATCTTTACTGAGAGTTCTGGCAAGTTGATTTCAGAAGGACAGCTCTTCCTAAACCAAGACTCCAAGAGAGACATTGCCAAAAAGATTAACTCAATAGAGTACCTGATGGGTGTAGACGCACCAAGAGGAGATTTAGACGGTGGAAGGAGAATGTGGAGATCGAGTACACAGAAATGATAAATACACAGACAGAGCTAAGCAGATAAATAACAATAACAAATAATTATCATTCCATAGAAAACAAAAGTTATGCAGGAAAGAAAGGGTAGTCACAGTATACTACATGGCTCAGCTATGAATAGCGTTAAATTGTCATAATAATGTAAACCCTGACACCAATCCAACCAAACCAGTGATATATTTATGGGGAAGATGGGAGAGGGCAGGAAGCATGAGCATGCAGGGTAGCAATAGGTGGCAGAGTGAAAAAACTATATCTCTTTATCTTTCCCAGTGAGACATCATTAGACAATGCCTATAATGAGTATAACAAGAAATAGTGGTTTAAGCATGTTATTTAGACATAGAGGCAAATAAAAAAGAAATAATTAAAAGATGAAAAGTGATTTATTCCAGGGAGCAGGAAATGGAGTGTGTGGAAGGGAGGCAGAGATTTCCTGTTTTTTCTTGTCAAATTATTACTTTTTTTAATTAAATTTTTGTTTTTAATTTTTGTCTTTTCAAATGACTTGGCTTTTTATGTGCATGTGTAACTGATAAAAATAAAGATGAATTTTTTAAAATGCAAGAAAGGGCTTCCCTGCTGGCGCAGTGGTTAAGAATCCGCCTGCCAATGCAGGGGACACGGGTTCGAGCCCTGGTCAAGGAAGATCCCACATGCCACAGAGCAACTAAGCCCATGCGCCACAACTGCTGAGCCCGCATGCCACAACTACTGAGCCCACGTGCCGCAACTACTAAAGCCCGCACACCTAGAGCCCGTGCTCCGCAACAAGAGAAGCCACCGCAACGAGAAGCCCGCGCACCGCAACGAAGAGTAGCCCCCGCTTGCCGCAAATAGAGAAAGCCCGCACGCAGCAATGAAAACACATCGCAGCCTAAAATTAAAAAAAAAAAAAAAATTTAATGTGGAAAAGAAGAATAAAAGAAAACTATTTTCTCAGGCATGGTGAATGTAGTAATGAATATATGGCTTTCCCTTCATACGCAATATCTGGCAAGTTCTTACACAACAGCCTTCTCGGGATCTCGAGGGAATGTCTCCAGGTTGCCTGTGATATAGTAGAGAGAACACCACAAGGTTCCTTCTATGTGTCCGCCTTGTGCAGCCTTATGGAAATATTCACCAGCTAACGTCTGTAAAGAGATGAGCAAACGTCAGTCTCATTAGTGAGAAGTCCTCCTGGGCTGGTTTCATCAGAACTAAGGTCCTGAGGCACTTAACGCCTGATATTATCACAGGTTTATAACTTCTAACATCTTTAAGAAAACCAAGTCAAGTTCCAGGAAGACAGCCAATCACAGAAGCTGGCCTCTCTACATGATAACCTTGACTGTAGCTATTCTGTTGTTTACCCAATAAATAAGATAACAAGACACTACGAATATCATTATCACATTATCAGATCCTCACATAACCCCTGCCAGCCAGACAGAAGACAGCATCAAAAGTCACACCAGGTGAAACTTCAGGCATTTTCTTCCCTGACCTTGCTTAATACCTTTTTTCAAACTCAGACACAAAAACTTCATTTCCAGTAGGAAGGTGAGAATTAGAATATGACAATAAAAAATCCATTCTGGCAGATGTGTGGGAGGACTAAAAGACATTTGCAATGCATAAAATATACAACTTCCTAGTAGTCAGAGAGAGGCGGAGGGAAAAAAGAAAACAAACACTTAGACGGGTATACATTCCACTGATTACTATTATTTTTCCCAGGCAGTTAACTGCCATTTTTAAGTATGGGCTTTGGAGTCAGACAGGCCTGGGTTCAAATCCCAGCTCTGCTCCTTACTAGCTGCGTGACCTTGGGCATGTTAGTTAATCTCTCCAACTAAGAGAATAACTCACTTTCTGCAACTGAAAAATGTGGCTTCTGATAGTAGCTAGCATGAAAGTATGGTGTGAGTATTAAATGAGATAACGTGTGTTTGAGGCTTGGCATGGCGCGTCACAAAAAATAATTTTTTTCTGATTCCCGACCCCCAACTCTGCGGCTAGAGCTTGCCCATCCCATTAAATGCTAACTTTTCTTCCAATCTCAATAAATGCCAAACACTCAGGGGTCATCCTGACTCCTCTCCCTGCCTCACACCTCACATCCAATCGTCGTCAAATTCTAATGCCTTGACCTTCAAAATATACCCAGAATCTAGTCACATCTCAGCGCCTCTTCTGATACTGCCCATCCTTCCTCACTTGGATTCAATGCATTAACCCCCTTGCTCTTGCTCTTGTCTCCTTCAAGCCCAGTCTCCACCGGGATCCAGGAGGAACCTGTTAAAACAACACAGCGTCTCCCCGCCCTGTTCAGAGCTGTCCCTTGCTCAGCATAGCTGCCTCCTTAACGTGATTTTCCACCTCCTCGTACCTTCCTTGCTCTCTGATCCTGCCAGTTCAGCCTCCCTGCTATTCCTCAAGCACACCAAACCTGCTTTCTTCTCTGGGCTTTTGCCCTGGCTGTTCCCTCTTTCTGGGATGTTCTCCCAGACATTCACAAGACTCCTTTAGGAGTTTGTACACTGTCACATTATCAGAGAGACCTTCTCTGATCTCCCTTATAAAATAGCATCTGCCAATCTCTACCCTCTCGGTCCTCCTTATCCTGCTTTATTTCTCCCTATAACGCTTATCCCACCTGCCCTCATACTATATATTTGTTTGTTTATTATCTTTCTGCTCCACTGGAGTGTAAACTTCCCCAAAGCAGGGACTGTTTTGTCTGCTGCTGTATCCCCACTGCCTGGAAGAGTGCCTGGCATAGGGTGGGCATTCAATTAATTTGCTGAATGTAATGGTAGTCAGATTATTATTACCATCATTAATATTATTATTAATAACAAGGGGTTTCCATTTCACATGGGGACCAGGTCTTGACTCCACTTAAGAGTATGACTCTAAGTTATGAAACCTTTCAGAGCCTCGGTTGCTTACTCTGTTAAATGGATGTAATAACAATAACTATCCCAGAGGGTAGTTAGGATGACATGGGATGGCACACAGAAAGTGTCTGTGAGTGTCTGGCCTAGAGGAAGTGTTCGGCAAACATTGAATATTGTTATTTACATTATTATCAAATCTGGTCTCATACCAGGCAACCCTATTTGGACCCAGCTTTCTTTGCTTCCAGTAAGATCAGTCATCAATCTCTGCACCAACTCTCTCTCATTGTCACCTTGCATCATCTCCCTCTCCTCTCCCCAGCTTAGGCTTCCTCCTCCATGAAGCCTTCCTGACTGCTTTGGCCTTCACTATTTCCCCTTTCCAGAACTGTTTCGGTCACAGCAATTAGCACACACTTGGCGTTGGGCTAATGCCAGCCTTTGCTCTTCACCATCTTGTCTTCCTAACTGGGCACTTGAGTTCCTCAAGATCACGGTCTGCATCTTGGGTGGTGTCTGCACCACCCATGGGGCCTTGTCTGGGCTGGGCATACAGTACACCTGCTTCATGACTGAGTGACTGACCAGCTGCACAGCTGGTCTCAAGTCTTACTCACTTGATTCCTTCCAGGAACTCCTGGGAAAATGCCATCCAAGTACAGGACTCCAAGATTGTATGATGCATCTGGGTTCCCCATTTCTTCTGCTTTTAACCAGTACTTAGCTGCTTTGGCATAATTTTTCTTGAATTTGTGGTAATACCATCCCAGGCCATTGACTGCCTGATGCAATCCCTGGATTTTAGAACAACAAGAAAGGAATTCCTTTTTTTTTAAAACTAAAACTAAAACAAAAAAACCCCAAACCCAGAGAGAATCAACTGTTAATGAAAGCATTCTGCCTGAGTCTGAGAAAAACCTTTCCTGTCTCTTTTTTGGGGGCAGATGGCATTAAAGAAAAGCTAAGTGCTGGAAAACATGAGGCTGCCTCAGCGTCTTCCCAGGAGGATTTCGCCCGGCTGCTGCTGGGATTTCTGCCTTCCAGCTCAGCAGTGATGCTGGCCCCCAAATCATCTCTCAGCCCCTATGGGCTCTTACACAATGCCCTCGTCTACAGAAGGCCTCTTACTGTCCTGCAGTATCAACAATGCCCTTGAAATTCATGACCACTCAACTGTGACAGGAGGCCGGAAACCTGCCCTGGCTGGGATGATTTCTAGGTGACCTGCCTGCCTATCTTTTGATTACTCTGCCCTAAACACCAACAAACCCTCTGTGGGAAGCAGCCGCAATGGCCTACTTGTAAAGCATAGGTGCTGTGGGACTGCTTGGCATCCCAGCTCCGACAGGTAGGGTCTGGCTGGGGCTGAGGCAGAGGGGAGGGGGGTGGTCTCAGAACTGTGTCTAAATTGGGACAGTACCACAGAAGGCCTGGTTCATGTGAGTCTAGTCTTAAGCTTCCTTGTTCTTGCTGATTCATGCTCTCAGGGGCCTGCCTCTGCTCTTCCCAGATGCTCCCACCTGCTCCAGCCTGGTTGTTGAAGGCTCAGGAGCCCTGCAGGGGTGTAAGTGTGCAAACCTGGGCATTCGGTGCTCTCATTCCTCCTTTCCTGCCAGATCCACAAGACCATGGACAAGTAGGGGAGAAAAGGACTGGAGAAGCAAACAGTGAGTGCCCTTGCATCTGTGAGACAGGTTAAGTTAGGGTCCAAGTGTGGAACCAAATCTCTTTTGCCTCCCCTTTCAGAAGTGAAGGACAGGTATCCCTCAGTAATGGAAGCCAAGATACCAGCCTGCAGCCTTTTCTGTCTGCAACAACTCCTGATATGCTCTACCTCCTACTTTTCACGTTGGACTCCAGGTGCCAGGAAGACCAGGAGAAAGAAACTGACAAGGCCCATTAGAACAGATGCTCCATGAGGGCAGGGATCTTTGTTTTGTATTCCAAGCACCTATGTTAGTACTTGGCCTAGAGTAAGTGCTCAATAAATACTTGACAAATGAATGAAAGCCATCCTTTGAATGCTGATGACACACAAAACAGAATCCAAATCCTACACCCTGAGGATCAAGAGTAGGGTTGAGGGCTTCCCTGGTGGCGCAGTGGTTGAGAGTCCGCCTGCTGACGCAGGGAACGCGGGTTCGTGCCCCGGTCCCGGAGGATCCTACATGCCGCAGAGCGGCTGGGCCCGTGAGCCACGGCCGCTGGGCCTGCGCGTCCGGAGCCTGTGCTCCGCAGCGGGAGAGGCCACAACATTGAGAGGCCCGCGTACCGCAAAAAAAAAAAAAGAGTAGGGTTCAGATTCGTAGGCCCTCAAGACAGTCAACACTTGAGATGGTGTCAGTGCCAAGGATCAGTTATAGAGGCATTCTTCTTGAGCCTTGCACGGTACCAGATGCAAGGCAGCCTCCTGAGAATTTGCAGGATGAATGCATTTCCATAGAGTAATAGACCACGTCATATATAGTGGCAAGAGCCAGCTTTGGAATAAGCTTACGGAATACATATCCAAATGGCTTGTGCAATGCTCACGTCCAGACACACAGGTTTATTCAAAGGTACCTGTCATCACTCAAAACATTCCCAGAATGTCCTTTAGAAATTGTATTTGGACCCAGATCAGGAGTCCCACAAGAAATCTTGTTTTATTTCTTAATGCTCACACCTCATTCTGGACATTTCCAGCTGTATCCAAGTGACTTTTAGCTAATTCCAAAAATCAAACTCTGTTTCACCACAGTGGCTGACAAAGAGGGAGGGCTTAATAACTCCCTGCAGAATGAATGGGTGAGAATCATGTAACACTTTTAAGCATGAGAGTACTCCAGGCCATAAAACTGCATTTCCTCCAATACTCATCTCAGCTCTGCCAAAACTACATTCAGAATAAAGCACCTTAGACAACAATTCACCACTAGCATACTAAAGAGATGCAAATTTCACACCTGCCAGCCCCATTGCTTCCCCATTTTAGGATGCTCTGGAACCATGCCCTCAATGACCACCATTAAGCTGCTTTTCTATTTCTGCCCTATAGTCTGTGTCAGGGTCAGGAGCTGGCGTGCACTTCAGTGGTTCCCTTCTCCTGGGTCACGTGTCCTCTAGAAAACACACAGGTGGAGAAAAAGCCTCTTGGCATTCTTTCTCTATGCTCCAACTTCCTGTTCTACAGAAAAAAAGGCACTCTGAGCTCCCTAAAGAAAGGGAATTGAGGAAGAAAAATCGGCACGGTTACTTCAGGAGTCTTTGTTGATAGGGCAAATATTATCAGACTTGGGGAGGGAGGCACATTCAGGAGGCTGAAGGGCTATAAACGGTCCTGTCAAGGTTGTAAAATTACAAGGTTGTAAAATTACAACGGTTTCTACCAATCCGTTTATTTGCAAATCTGTATGCAAGCACATGTGAGTGTGCGCGTGTGAATGTGCATGCATTGGGGGTTTGCATGCAGGGATACGTATGCATGCATGCCTGTGTGCATGCGTGTGCGTGTGTGTGTCCCCTCACAGGTGATATCATAACCTCCATTCTGTAGTGCAATATTTAAACTAGTCGGCTTGAAGATAACTTTGAAGAGTAAATAGTGCCAAAAGGAAAATAATTCCTAAACTCGGCAATAAACTTGATAAACAGCCCCTTTGTTAAAGCACGGAGAAGCAAATGAGCATTGGACACAACAGGGTTAACCTTAGAGGATTCAGGCTTTAGGTTTTCCTAATTCAATAGGATTTATGCCCATTCAATTTCAAAGAGCCCCCCTGCTGCTGCTTGTTATTAGGGCAGCCCTTGATTATAATTTTAGCCTTCAAACAAAATCAGTCTGAATTCTATTGACTGGAAAGTGAGTTCGGCTTTCGAATTTTGCCGTCCTCATTGTGCAGGTTTCTGTATATGTTGTAGCTCAAAAATGACTAATCACTGCAATGCCAGCGACCCCTCCCTCCCCACTGCATTTCTACCTTCCTCAGAAGGCTGGCCATTCACTCTCTTCGACTTGTAAGAGCATGGGTGTGTGTGGCGGAAATATTTCCCTCTGACAATATGCACAAGTGTTACCTTGGAAGCTGCTTTCTTCATCAGCTCTAAGGCAAGCCGTCTGTTCTTTTTTACTCCTTGACCCTAAACAATGATAAACAGCAATGATCACGAAGAAAATAAACGCAGAGTTGCACGCAAAACCATCACACCAATCTGTCAGTGTTGAATAGGAGAAACTAAAGCCCAAGGCTTCTCAATTAAAAATCTAATCTTGAATATTTCTGTATACAGAGCTGTTACACCATCATCATCATCATCATCATCATCATCATCATTTTGTATATATTTGTAGAAGAGAGGCAATAAACCTCACCCTCCCAGTTTAGCATCCATAAAAATTCCCCATTGATGGTCCAGTGAATCACATTCCTGTCAATCCGCAGGTGCTGTTGGGAGAAGCCATGAATAAGGTTAAATGAGTCTGGCCATCCTGGTTGTGTTTCTCTGGGGATTGCCTAATATGCGAGCAGACAGAGCACTTTATCTGTGTCGGACAGTCAAGAGTTATTAGGCTGTCACTTGCAACCTTGCAGCGTCCTCGTGGGAGTCCCCAAGGTGAAGCACTGTGGCTTCAGAAACAGCTTGAGAGCCAGTGGTGAGGGAGACAGGACCCCTTAGAATTTGTTCCCTCAGACGTGGCCAAACTGACAAGCTTCCTCCAGCAAAATCAAGTTTTTCCAGCAGAGGTGGTTTGTGCATCACAGAGAGAGAGAGGTGTGGCTTTGGAGTCCTTGTTTCAAGAGCAGAACTCCGTGGGACCATGCTGGGGTGTCTGCAGGACCACGTGGGAAAATGGTGGGTCTGAGGGTGGAGCGGGGTGGGGGGGGGTCCCTGAGGGCTCTCTCAACATAGCCCTGACCACGCACATGGCAGGTGAGAGGAGCCGGATGAAAACCCTGATGCTTCCAAGCTCACTTAGAGTCTGTTATTGACCTACACAGCGCATGGAGTCCTCCTGGTCTCAGACTCAGCACTTGACAGGGTCACATGTGATATAATGTTAGAGGGCTTTGCAATGAATACAGCTATTAACTCTCTTTAAATTCTTAGCTCTACAGTAAATGAAGAGAGCGCTAGCAAACATTCCTGTGTTAATTAACGTGGTCCAGGAACTCTCCTGCCATATCAAATCCTCCCAACCCCAGCCGGGGTGCTGCTATCATTCTCACCAGGGAAACTTGCCCAGAATCACACAGTGAGCAAGGAGTAGAGGCAGGATTTGAACCCAGGCTCCAGAGTCCAAGTTTATAACTGCCATGCTGTATTTTCTCCTATATATTTTAATTCCCATGCTGAGAAAGTATAATGATCCGTAACCTCCTTACAGGATACAGAAAACATGCTGCAGAATCTGTCTTTGTAGTTTTCCAGGACCCAAAATAAAACTGAATCCAAATAAAGGTTAAATTATATACAATGAGTTTCTACTCGATTTTAACTTACTTATTTCATAAAACCGATGAGCTGAAGCAAAGTGGAAGATGAAAATACTTTTCAGAAGTGCACCATTACTTTGTTTAATTAGAGAGGGAGAGGAAAAGACAAAAGGACATGAAGGCTGTTTGTAGTAACTGGATGGAAGCAATGAGACAAGCTTTTTGGATTTCGGGGAAAGCAACAGAACGACCAGGATGATGAAATGTCAGAACCTGGTTGCACTCAAAGTTTTTCTCCAACGTCTTTGTTTTCAAGGAATAAAACTGGGGCCTAGAGGGGTTGACTTATCCAAAACCTCACAGTTAGATCTGCAACCAGAACTCAGATACTCATCTGAGTTCTAGGCCAGGGATTTTCCAGTATCTGAATTATAGAATCAGAAGTGGGGTGAGTTCTTGCACTAAGACTATATACTATGCACAAGTCTGAGTTGTACTGGAAGTCGTAAAGTGAGAGAAGAGTAAAGTCGTGATGCATAGCAAGTGCTCAATAACTTCATCCATTGAATGACTCCATGGAGGGCAGTTGCTGCAGTAAAAGTCCAAGCTCCATCCTCATGTGGATGTGAAATGGGATGTATCTGACCGTCTTGGACAAGCTATAGCTATCATCATGGCGCCATCTTTGAATACAATAAGCCGAATATCCACACAAGACAACAAGCCGAGAACACACTGCCGTTCTTCTGGTTTGGAAAGTTCATTTTTTTGTATGGGTTTTTTTTACATTGAAAGTACTTACAGACACCTTGAGATGCCTTGAGATGTAGATAAAAGGCTTCCTTCCTCCCACTCAGAGATAACTTAGAATGCAGGAAACCAAAAAAGCTTTAAGGTTTGGGAAATCAGACCCTGAAGAAACATCCTGTCACCTCCCGTATCATTTATTTATGTCTTTCGCTTTCCCTCTAGATTTCAAGCTCCTGGTGGGCAGAAGTAATGTCTGAGTCGTGCCTTTTCTTCTCTGTACTTTGGGCAGTGGCCAGCCCCAACTCTGGTGGACTGGTGCCTCTCCTCTGTGCCTGTCTCAGTCCTCTGTCTTGCCCACGAGTATCCTGAGACCCCTGAGGTCAGGGATGAGGCTCATGCATCCATATGTCCCTCCATCTAGCACAGAGTCTGGCATTTTGTCAGCCCAGAATGGGTGTTTATTATATAAATACACGAATGCATTGGCATATAGCAAAGAGTCAAACCATTTCTACGTTGATTTAATGACTACGAAGAAAAAGTCTGGGCTCTAAACTTGGAAACCGTAACAACCAATAGGTTTTAAGACTTGGAGGGCCAGAAAGGTAGCAAGAGTCATGGTTGTTAATCAGTGAGCGGCCACAGCTGTGGTTCTGGAGATGAGCCCAGCCACATGAATCCACGTCCTTGTTTGAAGACACTCGCTCTTTGTGGGCAGCTGCCTCCTTTGGGTCTGGACATAGGGACCAAGGGTTTCCTTACTAGAGCCAACAGCTTTTCCAAGATTGGTGAATTGATGTCTCTGCATTCAGGGGTGAAGAGCATCCCAGTCCCAGGTCTGAAACACACCAGTTGTTCAACCTTGGGCAAATTACAAACCCTTTCTGAGCCTCTGTCACCACACATATAAAGAGCTATCATAATACACCGTGATACCTACCTCGCAAAGTTGTCTCGAGGGTTGAGTGTGTTAATACATGAACATCAGGTAATAAGCACTGCATCAATCAATGTGAAATATTATTATTCTGTAAAGCATTTTACAGTTCTTGGAGCCCCTTCCTTAGGTTATTTCACTCCATCTGTGGTCATTACCAGTGTCTCATGAGATCAGATAAGTCCAAGGATGCAGCTAATTGTTGCAGACGAGAGATTTGAACTCCATCCTCTATCTCCTGGGCTAATGCTCTTCCCATCCGTCCCACTGCTCTCCTGTTGGCTTAAAACCAAGATCTTTGTATCGATCAACGGGACTGCTGGGATCCAGCCCAAACATGCACTTGGTCTTAGCTATAATTCAATGATAACTCTGCCTGATAGAGGGCTTGCAGCACCTTTGGGGCTGCTGGCCATGTACCAATCTGTAAAATATGGGTGCCTTCTCCAGAATGCCAGTTCTTGCAAAAGCAGAGAGAATCCAGGTGTCAAACCTAAGACAAATGATTAAAAACGAGACCAGGGAACTGCTTGTGACTTTGCCTTTTCAGCAAATACCCCTTTCCATCCAGACTGACAGAAGCATGTCCTAAGGTTCCTAAGTTACAGGCTCCCTGATTGTCTGCCTGCCTACAGGAAACCACTTGGGAAGTCTGATAGAAATCGTGCAATTTCAGCACAAATTGAGTGATTCTTACCTTAAATAACACGATGGCATAGTCGTATATTAACGCGGGGTCCTCAGTCTCCAGGGCACCCTTGGCGTACCACTCAATAGCCGCTTCCGGGTTCTTGGCCACGCCTTGCTGGCCCCAGAACAGCATCTGGGCCAACCGTTGCTTCAAGACAATAGCAATTTAGAATAATGACTTTCCTGTGTTATGCTTAATAAATAAGACTTTAAAAAGGGGGGAAGGAAAACCTAGTTTAAAATGTTTTTATATTGAGAACCAAGATTTAAGTAGACACGTGTTATCTTCCTCCTGAGGACAAGAGCCCTGAAGATGAACTGGTGTAAATACAAGTCTTTAACACAAGTTGGAAATTGTGTGTGTGTATGTGTGTGTGTGTGTGTGTGTGGTGTATGTGTGTGGTGTGTGTGTGTGTATGTGGGTGGGGTGGGATGTGTGTGTGTGAGTGGGGTGTGTGTATGTGGGTGGTGTGTGTGTGTGTATGTGGGTGGGTGGGGTGTGTGTGTGTTGTGTGTGTGTGGGTGTACGTGTGTGTGTGTGGTGTGTGCGTGTGTGTGGGGTGTGTGGTGTGTGTGTGTGAGTGGGGTATGTGTGTGGGGTGTGTGTATGTGTGGGGTGTGTGTGTGTGTGTGGTGTGTGTGTGTGTGTATATGTGTGGTGTGTGTGTGTATGGTGTGTGTGTGCGGTGGTGTGTGTGTATGTGTGGGGTGTGTATGTGTGGGGTGTGTGTGTATGTGTCTGGGGTGTGTGTATGTATGGGGTGTGTATCTGTGTGTGGGGTGTGTGTGTGTATATGTGTGGTGTGTGTATGTGTGGTGTGTGTGTATGGTGTGTGGGGGTGTGTGTGTGTATGTGTGGGGTGCATGTGTGTGTGTGGGGTGTGTGTATGTGTGGGGTGTGTGTGTGTGTATTGTGTGTGTGGGGGGTGTACGTGTGGGGCTGTGTGCATGTGTGTATGTGTGTGGGGTGTGTGTGTCTGTATGTGGGTGGGGTGTGTGTGTGTATGTGGGTGGGGGGGGGGTGTGTGTATTGTGTGTGTGTGGGGGGGTGTACGTGTGGGGCTGTGTGTGTGTATGTGTGTGGGATGTGTGTGCCTGTATGTGTGGGGGTGTGTGTGTGTGGGTGGTGTGTGTGCGTGTGTGTATGTGTGTGGGGTGTGTGTGTCTGTATGTGTGTGGGGTGTGTGTGTGTGTATGTGGGTGGGTGGGGTGTGTGTGTATTGTGTGTGTGTGGGGTGTACGTGTGGGGCTGTGTGCGTGTGTATGTGTGTGGGATGTGTGCCTGTATGTGTGTGGGGTGTGTGTGTGTATGTGGGTGGTGTGTGTGTGGGGGGGTGTGTGTGTATATGTGAAGGCCAGAGCTGATGGATCAACAGCCACACTGTTTCCTTTCGTGAAATGCCCTCTCCTTGGGAGGTGCTGTGCGTCCTCTTGGCCCAGTGAACAGCATGGAGGCCTGTGCACATCCATATTAGGGCATCTCCCTACAGCACTATCCCAGCATCTGTCTACATGGCTGGCTCCACCATTAGACTCAATCGAGGCTGGGAGTCTTTGGTGGTGGGGATCTCAAGACGTTATTTGTCTGCCCTTGTGTCCCCAGCTCCCACCCAGCAGAACTCAACAGAAGCTCACAGAAGCAACGCAACAAAGATTTGCTGAATGAAGGAGGGAAGAAGCGTCCTTGTTAGGAACGTTCACGCAAGCTCTGGAGCACCCATGAAATCTGGCAGCAGCATCTCCTGAACTATGCACTAGAAGTCCTTCCTGAACTAGAAAGACTGCAGGCTGGGACAGAGCCCAAGACGGAGCCACAGGCAACACTGTCATGATTCTGGCCCCTTGTGGGCCTTGATTTTCTTTCCTTCTTTCTACCTCTCCTCTTATCTCCTCCTCTTCCATCCTTCACCCCCCAAAAGAAAACCTTATAACTTCCAGGAACGCATCTCCTGAGATGCTAGGAAGACCTCTAAGGAGGGGTGGGAGACCCGTTACTACAGGGTCTCTGAAGTGTTTGTTTGTCAATGCGTTCTTTGGTTTTCTTTCTCTTGCCCAGCTCTGGTCTTCTGCCTGCTTAGCAGACCCAGAGCAGAGGCTCTTCCTGACACTGTGCTCACTGCGAACACAAAGCAAAAGCTAAATCCATCCTTAGGGAAGGAGGTTTCCTTCCTCCAGTGCAATCAGCCTTAGCTGGCTCCCATAAGGACTTTTCTTCATAGTGAAATCACGGCAAGAAGTCAGATGGGGCGGGGGGGGGGGGCCTCCCAGCCCTCTGCCCTTTCTTGTACCCCTTACGGGTCTATCCAAAAGACAAAAA